CGTCGATAGACAGTTTCTCAGCTAAAACTGCAATGGCAGAATTATACAGATGCGTCGATAGACAGTTTCTCAACTAAACCTGCCGTGGTAGACTTATATAGATGCGTCGATAGACAGTTCCTCAACTAAACCTGCCGTGGCAGACTTATATAGATGCGTCGATAGACAGTTTCTCAGCTAAAACTGCCATGGCAGAATTATACAGATGCGTCGAAAGACAGTTCCTCAACTGAACCTGCCATGGCAGACTTATATAGATGCGTCGATAGACAGTTTCTCAGGTAAACCTGCCGAGGCAGACTTATATAGATGCGTTGATAGACAGTTCCTCAACTAAACCTGCCATGGCAGACTTATATAGATGCGTTGATAGACAGTTTCTCATCTAAACCTGCCATGGCAGACTTATATAGATGCGTCGATAGACAGTTCCTCAACTAAACCTTCCGTGGCAGACTTATATAGATGCGTCGATAGATAGTTCCTCAACTAAACCTGCGGTGGCAGACTTATATAGATGCGCCGATAGACTGTTTCTCAGCTAATACTGCCATGGCAGACTTATATAGATGCGTCGATAGACAGTTCCTCAACTAAACCTTCCGTGGCAGACTTATATAGATGCGTCGATAGACAGTTCCTCAACTAAACCTGCCGTGGTAGACTTATATAGATGCGCCGATAGACTGTTTCTCAGCTAATACTGCCATGGCAGACTTATATAGATTCGTCGATAGATAGTTCCTCAATTAAACCTGCCATGGCAGACTTATATAGATGCATCGATAAACTGTTCCTCAACTAAATTTGCCATGGCAGACTTATATAGATGCGTCGATAGACAGTTAGGTTCTCAGTTAAACCTGCTGTGGCAGGCTTATATAACTGCGTCAATAGACAGTTCCTCAACTGAACTTGCCATGGCAGAATTGTGCAGATTCCTCAACTAAACCTGCGATGGCAGACTTATATAGATGCGCCGATAGACTGTTTCTCAGCTAATACTGCCATGGCAGACTTATAT